AATCAGAATCAGACGATGATGAAGTGGATTGGGAAGATGCAATGGGATCGAAGGCTACCACCGCCACGGCGACCACTCCTTCGATAACACCTGCCCACGTCAAAGATCTGGAGCTAACTCTCGACAAAAACGAGGTTCATCTGTCTGATATTATCGATGGGAAGAAGGCTCCGTCCAAAATTGAACGCCAAATCCGGGTTCTTACCCACTGCCTGCATGTCCAGTTCTTGCTCCACCACAACGCTCTCCGAAATGCCTGGGCAAACGATTCCCAGGTCCACGATATTCTACGTCGCAAGCTACCTGCTGCCCTTCATAAAGAGGTAAAAAAGTGGAAAGTGTCTTCTGGCCTAGAGCTTCCAGAAAAGCCCCCAGAAGAGACTACCAAGAAGAAGAAAGGGAAGCAGCGTCACAAATCGGAGAGAGACTGGGGCGAGGGCTCATCGCGGATGGAACCTGGTCAGCCAGATATGAGCCGTGGAGATCCCATTATCACGTTACTCAAGGTCTTGGCCGCCTATTGGAAGAAACAGTTCAAGATCACCGCCCCGGGGTTACGAAAGCGTGGCTATCGGCCTATGTCCCACCTTGAAGCTGACATATCCGCCTTTAATAAGGAAGAACATGATCCTGAGAGATTTGGGGAAAAGGTCTGCGGTCTCGATGAGTTTCGACAGGCTGCAGAGCGTATGGAAGGGTCCCGCGACCTGGGTGCTCAGCTGTTTACTGCACTACTCCGCGCGCTCTCGATTGAAGCTCGGCTCGTCGCCAGTCTTCAGCCTTTAGGGTTTGGTTGGACCAAGGCGGAGACATACACGCAGAAAGCCAAGGTTGAGTCAGAAGCCCAAACTGAGAGTGGGGAAACCGAGGATGCCATGGACGTAGATTCTGATGACAGCGACTTAGACCAGAAGCCCGCGGGCAGTAGAAATAATTCCAAGGGGTATGACAAGGACCTTCCAGTGCCAATTTATTGGACAGAAGTTGCGTCTCCAGTTAACCACCAGATCATTCCCGTCGACCCGCTGGTGTTACCGAATTCTGTAGCGACAACACCAGAGCTCCAGGCCGCATTTGAGCCTCGAGGGGCTAAAGCTGAGAAAGCTAAGCAAGTGATTTGTTATGTGGTAGCATACTCGTCCGACAAGACGGCAAAAGATGTCACTACGCGGTATCTCCGTCGGCGCACCTGGCCTGGCAAGACAAAGGGCTATCGAATGCCAGTAGAAAAGATCCCCGTGCCCGGCCGGAGAGGAAAGTTCCACGAGTACAACTGGTTCCGGGTCATCCTGCGAATCTACGAGCGTTCACCAAAAAGCCAGACAGCGGTCGACGACCTTGAGGATGCGAACGACCTGGTACCAAATCAACCCGAGAAAAAGGCAGCCAAGGAAGGTGACACGCTCCAAAGCCTCAAGGCCTCAACCGAATTTGTCCTAGAACGCTTCCTCCGTCGCGAAGAAGCCCTAAAACCAGGCTCCCAGCACGTCCGCACCTTCGTGACCGGAAAAGGCACCAAAGCCAAGGAAGAGAAGATATACAGACGAGCCGACGTCCTAAAATGCCTCTCCGCCGAGAGCTGGCACAAAGAAGGCCGACAGATCAAGAAAGGCGAAGCGCCACTAAAACGAGTACCCATACGCGCCGTAACGCTCCTCCGCAAACGCGAAGTCGACGAGCTCGAGCGTGAAACCGGCGAAAAGCCCAAACAGGGCCTCTACGCCAAATACCAAACAGAGTACATCATCCCGCCACCCATCCGCAACGGCGTCATCCCCAAAAATGACTACGGCAACATCGACTGCTTTGTTCCCAGCATGGTGCCCTGTGGTGCCAAACACATCCCCTGGCCCGGTACCGTGCGCATCTGCAAGAAACTCGGTATCGATTACGCCGAAGCCGTCACGGGCTTCGAATTTGGTTCCAAGATGGCTGTTCCCGTCATCGAAGGCGTCGTTATAGCAGCAGAAAACGAAGACCTAGTCAAAGACGCCTGGCGCGCTGACGCCGCAGAAAAGCGCGAAAAGGAGCGCCGCAAAGCCGAAGCGCGCATCCTTCAAACCTGGCGGAAATTCCTCTTCGGTCTGCGCATTGCCGAGCGTGTCCGCGAAGAATACGGTGAATCCTCCCGCGACGACGAGAGAGACGCATATAACCCGTTCACAAGCCGTAAATCAGGTCAACAGGCTCCTGCACCGGAACCTCACGTCCGAGAACCATCAGAGGCGGGAGATCCAGTTGACCGCGGTGGAGGATTCCTTCTCCCCGGTGAAGATGGCGGCGATGATGGAGATCTCATCGTCGAGAGACACCAACCTTTGCAACCTGAACGTGAACATGAGGTTGCTGCTGAACTAGATGATGCAGGGGCCATGGAAAGGGAGATCCCTGATACCAGTTCCGTCCATGAAATTTCTTCTTCGCCGGAGATACCGGATTCTGAAGAGCAGCTTTCTGATTCGGAGCCTGAGTATGTACCTCCTACCACACGGAGGCGTACTCGGAATGCGACGCGGAAGGGTTAATGCCCCCTTTTATCCCGTTTTTCTTTGCACCGTATGTTTAGTATCTTGTATTCTTGGGAATCATGCTTGTAGCTATGTAATAACGGAGTTAGGGTATCATCAGCCATGGCCACGGATTCAGGGTAGGAGTTAAATATAAGTTTGACATACTGGAATTAACGATAATTTACTGGTATACTGTCTTGCTTATATATGTATATACGTATCATCAAATTATTCCACTAAATAAAGCAGATAGACTAACGGGGTATACTGTCTATATGGCTATGCTGTATAAGATTCAAGAGAGCTGTACAAGGTGATCAGCAACGAGGCAGTCACCTGCGCCGTTTCGGCAGGGGTGAATCCAAGCCATAGGCCTCGTTCATCTCCAGTCTAGAATCCATGTCCATGCCGAGATCGAAATCTTCCACCGGACTTACGTGTACTGCCGGCGAAGAGATGGGGCTATGGGCGACTCGTGGCCGGGACTTGAAGACACTGGCGTAGTCTGCCTCTTCTTCGAACAGTTCATCGCGCGGCGTGGATGCTCTGCTGATTTCGGGAGTTTGCCTCTCGGGCAGTTCGAATTGATTCACGGGGAAGGAGGGCCGCCCGCGGCGAGGTCGAAGACTCTCTCTAGGCCGTGGGTTACTTGGCGGAGGAACTAACGACATAGATTTCCGCGTCCGTTCAATCAGATTATATGTGTTGCGTTCCTTGCGCTGGGCGGGTTTGAACTCTAGATCAGACGAGAGTTGCAGCGAGGGAGAGCTGGATCGCCCTATAGCATCACCCGCTTCAGATGTAACACTGCCCGAGGATGTACTCTTGGCGGTAGCATCTTGCTGAACCAATTGAGGGGATGACGTATTACTTGAGGACGGTGATTCATGCCCAGCCATACGACGGTCTGCATCCACTACGGGGACATGTAATGAAGTGGCTCGTGAAGATGAGCGGTGCGTGCCTTCGATTCGAGCAAGTGCTTCCGTCATGGAGAAGAGGAGTGCGCGATCGTCTGCTTTAAGGGAAATGCGTTCCACTGGCTCTCGAACAGCCTTGGCGATGCTGGCGACAGTGAGTGCCTGGTGGTCCCGGAACGCCAAGGGAGGACTCTTTATTGAGTTCATCGATTCCGTTCGCTCATGTCTCAGCATCGAACTGTGATATTGATGCCATCTCTGCAAGCGGGCACGCTGCCTCGTGATGCGTGTCTCCAAGTCGATCAAAAGATCCGGAGCAGAGTTTCTCTTAAGGTCCTCTACTGTCGACGCCTTTGCTTTGGACCATGCTGTTGAGAAAGGCAGCTCTAGAAACGCATCGCTGCTACTTCGGGCACCTCCATATAGCAGAGTGTCGGCCCAATCCGCATTGCTTAGGCAATTAGCCTTGACCTTCTGTGCCAATTCATCAAAGTTAGCCTCGTCCGCAATCTGGGGACGCTCTTCCTGGGACTGAAGTTCTAGTTGACTCTTTTTGTAATCCAATAGTTGCGAGAATCTTTCATGCGTATCCCGTACCCGGCTGCGACGCTCTCCCACCTCTCTCAAGGAGACGCGATGCGCGAGAATGAGGGGTAGCATGCGTTGATATTCTTGTTGAGTCAGTCCTGAGGCCATTGACAACTTCATAGCGGGGGTCCCAAGTCCTTCATCCGCCGAGGCGGCCAGAGCTTTACGGAGAACTGCGGTCGAAAACACCGCAAGAAGCTCGTCAAACTTCTCCCCTTTGCAGTCATCGAGCATTGACTTCCGCAAAATAGTCTCTTTTCCTAAGTCTCCATTTTTCTTCAACTCGGACAACACACGAAATAGGGCGGCGCGCAGATTGACTGACTGCAATGGCTCCAGTGGAGGAAAGAAGGGCCGGAGTTTCTAGCGTATTCTGTCAGTTGGAATGCCACACACGCGAGGTTAAAAGCGCACATACATCCCGAGCGGTTTCCGGGTCCCAGAGCGCCACCAATTGGTAGAGTGCCCATTCGATGGCTTTGACACGCTGGCGCTGGTTCTGCGGTGAGGATAGAGAGCGAACTGTAATGCCCGGCCAGTCGTCACGGAAGTCTAGTTGCAGCAGCTGGAGGTTCCGAACAAAGACAACCACGGGTGGTTGCGGCGTCCAATCCGGCCTTTTCGACCGAGAGGGAGGTCGCGGCGACTGCATATTTAGGAGATACTGAAAGGGTCAGCAAACGTCTCCTGGAGACAAAGAACTGGAGAAAGGGGGTTGTATACCAGCGATCCTCAGTCCGCACAGGCGGTAGTGCCATAGACAATGACGTTTAAAAGAGCCTTATCATAGATGCTAGAACTGATCTGGAATAGCAGTGGGTGGGGAGATCGCGAGAAGATTAAATGAAAGTAAGTGGTTTGCGGGGACGACAGATTGAGTGCCAATCATGTGCTTGTTTATATTGTTTATCATGTTGGTTATCAGTCACCCTCACCGCCTTCTTCTTTTTCTCTTTCCCCCCGCAGAATCTCCCCTCAGTTTTTTGGCCTTCTTTCTTTCCCCTCTCTCTCAGTCAGTCTTTCGTTCAAGCATATAAGGCCGTTCTCCCCTCCATTTTTGTACATCGAGTTTAATCTTTGCATTTATTTCATTACACCGTTTCAAAATCATCATAATGGGCTCTGAAACACCGTCTAATGCCCTCTGGACTACGCAGTCTGGTGAGAGGAATTCTGCAATGATGCCCAGAGACCGTAAACAAAAGCTAACAGATCGAACCAGTGCTGGCCACCCTTCCTCACCCCCCTGAGGAGAACTCCGCTTCTCCGATTCCGTTCTTCCACCTTCTTGAGCGCCTGAAGACCACCAAGAGGGAAGGCTGGCGCCGCTTCGGTATCACAGAAGGCGAATCGATCTCGGACCATATGTACCGTATGTCGGTGATGACGATGCTCGCCCCGCCTTCGCTCGCCCCACGGCTCAACCTGCCCCACTGCATGAGGATGGCTCTCATTCACGACATGGCGGAGTCGTTGGTTGGCGACATCACCCCAGTAGACAACGTTGACAAGAAAGAGAAGGCACGCCGCGAGGCTGACGTGATGAACTACATCACCAAGAACCTGCTGGGAGGTGTTCCCGGTGGAATGTTGACCGGAGATGAGGTTATGAAGGTGTTCCAGGAGTATGAGGATAACGAGACACTGGAAGCCAAGTACGTCCACGATATCGACAAGATGGAGCTTCTTCTGCAGATGGTCGAATACGAACGTACCCACGATCTCGATCTGTCTGAGTTCTGCCATGTTGCGAACCGTGTCCAGCTACCGGAGATCAAGGAATGGGCGGCGACGGTACTCCAGGAGCGGGAAGCTTTCTGGAAGAAGAAGGCTGCCAATGGAGTTCAGGCATAAGAGTGTGAATCATTGATGAGAGTGATATTCTTTCGGTTGATATTCCTTTCGGGTTATGTTTAATGGTGTCGATGCCTCACGAGTTATCTATCTTTTTTTCGGTTTTTTTTTTATTATTATTACCATCATGCATACCACTAGACAGGTGAAGGCGTTTGGATGGGCCCATGATTAGATTAGATACCATCGACGATCGATGAGTCTTGTCACATACATATTGAAAGTACACAAAGTGTAACTTAAGCTCAATCACAAGCCAACATAGAATCCGCGAAAAAAAGAGAGAAAAAAAAAAAAGGTATCCCATGCAAATAACAGTAAAGAAAAAAAGGTCTATCCATCTATACATACTATACATACAACACACCAACTCAATCAACCTCCTCCACCTCCATCTCCTTAGCCAACATCCTCGCCTCCGCCTGCATATCCTCCATACTCCTCGGCCTCCTCTCCTCATTATCAACGGCCGGAAACCTCGTCATCCTCTGCCGATAATGCCTCCCTAAATCCCCCTCCTCCCCATCTAGCATATCGTACACCGCATCCGTCCCTCCCCGGGCATCCAGATCCGCCTTCTTCCTCGGGATAATATGCGCATGAACATGCGGCACGCTCTGTCCCGCCTCTACGCCATCCTGCACGGCGATGTTGAGACTACTTGCGCCGTACACGCGCTCGACCATGCGGCCCACACGGCGGACGGTCAGGAAAAGATCTGTTGTTTCGGAGGGGGTCAGGTCGGAGACGCGGGGGACGACGCGGCGCGGGGAGACGAGGACGTGGCCTGGGAGGATGGGTTTGAGGTTGACGAGGGCGAAGGAGAGGGGGGTTATGTGGAAGACCTGGGTTTTCAAAGGATCGATTAGTGTTTTTTGAGGAGGATCGGTCTCAGGGGGGGGGGTGGGGGGTTGTATGTTCCTGGGAGGAGGGAGGGGAGGTTTTTTATTTACTTACCTGGGATGTGACGACGAATGGACCAAAGTGGATCGGTCCTTTAACGGCGAGAGCCATTGTGGATGGGGAGTCTTCGGTGGGCATGTAAAGGTAGGTTTTCTGGTTGGCGAGTTTATAAGGGTTTATTATAACTAGAAAGGTGACAATTTGACTTTGGAGTGGTTGTTGAGAGAGCCGAGGAAGTTGAGGTATTCGAAAGTTGGAGGCGGCGGCGTCATTGTTTATGACCGGTCGAGTGGAGCTCGGACAAGTCTATGAAGCTACATTCAACGGAACAACGCCTCATTCGTTTACGAATAGCTACTGATTCAGTATAGGCAATGGGTATCATTAATCACTCGGATACGCGAATTCATATATTACATATCAGTAACCTTCCTCATCCAGTTTGTCAGTAAAAAAAAAGAAAGAAAGAACAACGTCATCGATGCGAGGCATGATAGTGATGCAAGGCATATTACAATCGTAGTATAGACACATGGCATGGCATCAGAAGGAAGTGAGTATAGGGTTCTGTTGAATGCAAGGTTTACGTCTCTTTCGCCGGCTCAGACACTGGTTCGGCTTCTTGATCAGTTGTCTGTTTTATCTCTGCCTCTGGTTCTGATTTCGGGGCCTCCTCGGTTGAGGCTGTTTCGGGCTCATCCATCTGCGCATCGCTTCCCTCGGTGCTAGGATTTGATTCCTCCTGTTCGATTTTCTTGGTATCTGCGTCAACTGCCTGTGGAGCTGCCTCCGTCTCTTCATCATCTTGTACTTCTGCAACTGTAATTTGTGACTCGGTGCTACCAATCGGCGCCTGTTCGTTAGAGGTCTTGGTCTCTTCACTGACAGCTTCCACGGGTGGCTGAGGCTCTGGTTCCTTCTGTGCCTCTTCGGTGGACTTTTCGGTTTCTTGCTGTTTTGGCTGCTGCTCGTCATCCTCGGCGCTTTCGCTGATGGTCGTGACATCGCGGATAGTCGTAACCCGAGAACTTGTTGACGGGGTATTCTTGTGACGTCTCGTGGTCGCCGACGGTGGTTCTTGCAGTGTGGCAGCCAGCGGACCTTCACCCTCCTTCCGCAATATCGTCATTCGACGCCCGTCCATCTGCTCCTCTGCCGGTTGAACGGGATCGGCACCTTCCGCCTCAGCCGGAACGGTGTAATTGTCTTCTGGTATCAAGCTGTATAGATCACAGACCGTCTTGAAGAAAATATACAGCCCATCGTGGCCTTCGACCTGCCAAAACACCTCCCGATGTTGAAACCAAGCGTGCGCAAAGATGCGATAGAGGCGGCGGAAGATGTTGGTCAAATGTCTCATGCTCGCCTGTGGACCACCACCTGCCTCCGAGCCTAGTGTTAGACGACTAGGGAAGTACTTGGGTGATGTGAGGATGTTGGTTGCCCAATCCAGGGTATGGCAAGAATAGTCGATAGCACAGCACGATTTAGGCGGATCGTGGACGGCACAGAGATACTGCCATTCTGACGCTCGCATTTCTGGACATGTCTGTGCGGAGCAAGGGGGGTTTTCGGCGAAGAAAGCAATGATAAGATTGTTTACTTTCATTGTTAGGAAGCGGCAAAGCTCATAGAGCCAAAGCGACCGGTCAACGCCCCCCGGGGGCTCCGCAAGCTGAATGGCAACCTCCCGGTTGATCGGGACGACAGTGTCAGATCCTTCGGGTCGGGTGTAGTGGTTATAGAGGGCTTTAAGGTGCTCCTGAAGCTGAAAGGAAGAATCGAGCTTTGGGGGAGACCCCAGTCAGCGGAGGTGCGGCGCAATCTGCTCTTGTTTACATACCTGAGAGAGAGGGACCAGAGGCGGACCAACTGCCATGTCGACAGATTTGGTCCCTGGTCGAATTCTCCGAGTTGAACCATCGTCAGCTCCATGGGAAGTACCTAGCAGCTGCTCTGCATCCTGACCAAACGACTCGCCGACCGACGGCGATTTGGGGCCGATCTGAACCTCTGTAAATGGAGGAGGACTGGGTAGGCGCGGGGAGCTAGCCTGAGAAGCTCCCGCAGCAGCCATGTCTAGACAATTGCAGAGCTTAAGGTGATATAAAAGAATGAATTAAGAAAGAAAAAAAAAAGGACTGAATGAAAGCTAAAATGAAGGGAAGAAAAACAAGCTGTTAAGGAGAGACGGAGGAGGCGCTTAGGCCAAGCGGAGCTTCTGGAAGGAGTGACGGGACGGAGACGGAGATTCCACCGGCGGAGCTCATGACTAGTCAGTGCCCTAAGCCCTAGCTAATCCTCTCTGGGTAACGTCATTCCGTCAATCAGATCATCTACTGTATTTCCCCATACTTCGGGAAATCTCTCGTGGCGCGACCGGATAACCTGATTCATCATGTCAGATATAGAAGATGACGAAGCCCCTCCAGCGCTGATAGATGTCTCTCAGCTCCCGGATGCGGAACAGCAAGAGGCGGCTAACACCTCATCCGCGGATGCGCCGTTGGAGAGCCGGGTGCCTATTACGCTTGTAACCGGTATGACTTCGATGTATATACTTCTAGGGACTGCCAGCTGACAGCTTGTCTAGGGTACCTTGGCGCAGGAAAAACTACACTGTTAAATTACATTCTCAATGAAAAACATGGCAAGAAGATCGCCGTGATAATGAATGGTTGGTTTCCTAGATCTGTCATGCGAGCATCACTAAAAACCTGTAGAGTTCGGTGACTGTAAGTCATATAGAATGAAAACGCATAGCGGGCAAGCATATGTAGACCGCTGGGGAACTAGTGCTTATGCTAATACGTAATCAAGCCACGGACATCGAGAAGCCATTGACAGTAAACCAGGATGGCCAAGAAGTCACCGAGTGGATGGAAGTCGGAAATGGTTGCATCTGCTGCTCAGTCAAGTAAGTTCCTCACACTCTGTATATCAATACGGCTGACCAAAGACAAATAGAGACTCTGGCGTAATGGCCATCGAGTCCCTCATGGAGCGCCGAGGAACCTTCGACTACATCCTGCTCGAAACAACCGGCCTTGCCGACCCAGGCAATATCGCTCCTGTATTCTGGGTCGACGATAACCTCGGCAGCTCCATCTACCTAGACGGAATCGTCACTCTTGTTGACGCGAAGAATATTCTACATCTTCTAGATGAGCCGACTCCCGAGGAGACAGTGTCCAGTCACGAAAAAGAACAAGGCCATGACCATGACTATTCGGGACCCGTACTATCCATGGCCCACATGCAAATTTCGCATGCGGACGTGATCATCCTGAATAAGGCCGATCTCGTTACTCCAGAGGAACTCGATAAAGTCCGAGAACGTGTGCAAGCCATCAACAGTGTCGCTAAGATCCATGTAACGGATCACAGCAAGACACCCCAGATTGAAGGCGTTGTCTTGGATCTTCATGCCTACGATCACTTGGCTAGTCTGGATTTTGGCGAGAAGGGACATAGCCATATTGATCCGGTAAGTCGTTCTTCTCGATTGGGTTTTTTTCCCCCTTAACTCGAGGGTCTAACCAGTTTTACCAGGCTATCTCTACAATCGCAATAACAACCCCTCCCATCCCATCCGAAAAGATTCTGCTCGTGGATGCCTGGCTCCGCTCCGTCCTTTGGGACTCTACTCTTCCACCTGTGGAATCTCAATCTGAGTTTCAGTCTCATCCAGCTGATTTCGATATCCACCGCCTCAAGGGCATATTGATCACAAATGATGATTCCAGTAGGGTTATTCAAGCGGTCCGAGACGTATTCGAGATCAGGGATGCCGAGCCAACGTCATCTGATGAAGGCCAGAAGCAATGTAAGATTGTTCTCATCGGCCGAGGACTTGGGCCGGATGCACAGCCGTGGCAAAGGAGCTTTGAAGCCTTCTTGGAGAGGGATGAGTAGTACAGGTCAATGGCGGGAATGTAGAGTGTGTGAGGCGTGCTGTATGGTATAGGGTGTCGGGATTCCAGATTATGACGATGAAGATCCATGTGAACAAAGTAGAGCTATGATGAGTTGAATAGAGTCAATTAAACTTGTGTAGCACTGCCGTCTAGGCTAAAGCTGCCCCATGTCCAGTAGAATGAATTACATCAGTCAAGACTTTCCATTTTGGAATTCCTAAACCGAGATTGAACGTACCAAATCTTTATTGAATTAATACAGCCATGGCCATGAGGGACTTTCACCGGTGGCAATCAATATACATAAACTTCTTTCAATAACAAGTAGCCCGGCCATTGGGATGTCATCATATCATTCGTGAAAACAAGGGAAAATAAAACGAGACTGTTGCTGCTTTTAACGAAAGAAGACGAGGTGGGTTCGACCCGGCAATTTTATAGCAGAGGAAAAGGAATGAAATCGAGAGACCCGAAAGCGAAAAAAGAAGAAAGAAGAAGGACGAAAAAGAAAAAAGTAGAAATCAAATAACAAAAACCAACAAACTCCAGTTTCGCCGACATGCTCGCTGCTGCAGTTATAAACGATGAATCAAAAAGCCACGCCAAATAAGTATCTATACAGCGCAAAAGCGTGGGAAATGGGTATCGCGCACTGCTCTGCCCCATTCTGGGACCGCAAATCACAATAACAACCTGATTCTGGATCAAGAAGCGGATGCTCTTTTGCCTATCACAAATGTCATTTTGCAGTGACACTTGGTTTCCGTCATGCGGAGGTCAGGGCTTTATTTTGAAAACGCCGGGTTTATGGGTAAATGCGAATCACTCAGGTAAGGCGTGTTCTGGAGAATCTGCCGGGGATATCCTAATGCCGACCGAACGGTCAAGGGAGAAAAGCGCTCTGCATTTCCCTCCATCAATTTTGATTCTGGCAAGCTGAGGGCAGGATTGATAGGTAATATGGAATGCAACAGGGAGGATACCGAACGTGAAGGGATCTGGCTGGACCAGTCCTGATCACGGATCAGTGCATGGCCTAAATCTGGCACAGTTACTGCGTACGGATCGGTAGATTGAGTTGCCGCAGATAAAGGGGATTCCCCACAGTTCGCAGAGTCTGGGGACAGTTTCTTCGTGGAGCTTGGCCCAAACGAGCAGGCCGGATGGCTGCCAACGCCTGCAAGGGACCCAGATAAAGTGTCAGCCTCCAAGGGCAGTAAGTTTGCTGCTCGATCCAGAGAAATATCCCGATAGCGAGGATCGAGATCCGCGTCTAGATCAATTTCGTTGTCTCTGTCCCCTTGAGTAGATAGGTATGTACGTGTCTGGTCACTCCCCAGGTTTGTC